GGAGATCAGACTGAAGATATACTACGCTGCCTGTCTATATAAAACAGGGATTCATAAGATAAACATGTGCTTATAATAAACATTTAACGTTCTAAAGCAGCTTCTTGTTTTGTTTCATTCAAAGATTTCTTGCAAAAGGTTACCTGCATAAAGACTTCCCAAATTTTCAACTGACAGGCTAGAAGAAAGACAGCTAGTTAAATTCACCCATCACTTACTCTTGGACTATTCTTTCCTGATTGAAAAGTCAGATTTCATTGTAATATTATAGCACACCCACTACTCCAATGTGCGCGGAGTGAGTTTTACGGTCGTGTTCACGTTTGTTTGTTTTTTAATATTTATATCATGATGCAATGGGCCAGGTGGTCAAACAGTCTGAAATAAAGTGTCATATATTTTACATATACATTATGTTAAAAGCCCATTCTTTCACGATAGAACCACTGAAAAATATTACGATAATACTTCGTAATTTTAATTCACAGTAATTTCTTTTCATACTTCAGTGCAAAGCTAGAAACTGAATATTTACGCTCTGTCTATTGCATGGAATCAATCTCTAAATTTTAGCGTTATAAGTTTGTAAACTTACAGATGACCCATGGAGGAAATAATTGGCTCACTTTAAATTATCAGTGTCAAGATCACTTCTTGTTTCTTACAAGCTGTCCTGCGGTGGAGTCAGCTGTAAGTTTACGGACTTACAATGCTAGACACAGCAGGTAGCCCAGTGTGGCTTTGCTCTAAAACAAACAAACAATGCTAGAAACCGGGTTTCGATACTCGAGGTGGGCACAGCACAGATAGCCCATTGTGTAGTTTTGTGCTTAACTACAAACAAACTTTCCTGGATTTGTCCATTGAATGATATTTTCAGCTGTTATTGAATTATTTCTTATAAGCCTGTACGTACCAAGACCAGTTCACTTTGAGTTTCGTATTCCAAATCACTTAAAGGAACCATTATTTTACTAATAAAAAAGTTTTGAAAACAAATCGATTAGATTGCTGGACAGTTTATTTACAACAGGTGTGATCAAAACTTACATTCCCCAAATCTTTAAAAGACCAGATGAAGGTTTGAAAGAACTTCGTATAAATCGAACCAAACACTGCAAAATTTATGAACGAATCCAAAGAATCAGAGAAATTGATACTCCTACAAGTTATTTTTTTAGATTAGGACAAACACCTAGTACACAAAAAGCTATATTAACAGGTTTAAAGGATAAAAATGGTACGGTAAGTCGGAATTTAAATGAAATAAATTCTATAATTATTGATTTTTATAAGAGATTGTATTCAGAAGAAACGGTAAATGAAATTAACGATTCTTTCTTTGAAGGCTTACCCAGGTTACCAAAAAAAGTCTCTAGATGCTCGACTAACGCCTACAGAAATAACTGTCGTTGCCAATCATTAGCAAAAGAAAGTCCCCTGGAACTGATGGCATAACGGTTGAATGGTTAGTAAAATTTGGGCCAAAGATGGGCATTTCTCTACTAACGAATCTCTAGAAATAGGTGAATGTTCTAGAAGTATGGAAAAAAGTAGCAATAAAGTTAATACCTAAAAAAGGGCGACTTGACAGAATTAATAAATTGGCGATAGTCTCGCTTTTATGTACTGATTATAAAGTACTTTCGAAAGCCATAACAAACAGAATGAAACCTGTTATGAGTCAATTGATTCGTGAGAGTCAGACTTACTCTGTTCCAGATCGATGTATTTATGATAATATACATGTTATGCGTGTTATAATAAATCTCGCAAATCAAAATAACGAACGTTTAGCTATTTTAAATTTAGATCTTGAAAAAGCCTTTGACCGCATAAATCACAATAATTGAAAATAATACATAGGAAATTTGGTTTTGGCGGGAATATTATAAAGGGGGTTGACGCAATGTATGAAAATGCGATATTTTATTTAGTTCATGGGTCGGTTGACACAATGTATAAAAATACCATATTTTATGTAGTTCATGGGTCGGTTGACACAATGTATAAAAATACCATATTTTATGTAGTTCATGGGTCGGTTTCAACTTCAACTATTCCTTTTAAGACAAGGAAATCTAATAAGTGGATATTTATTTACACTAGCAATAGAACATTTTCTTAGATATAATTTAAGAAACAAAACTAGTTCCTTAAGCTCAACATCAAGTTATAGTTATCATCAAAGACTTATTCTATCATCTTATGCTGACGATATAAATATTTATTTTAAACAGGAGTCAGAATTTAATGTCATTCAAAATACAATAAAATAATTTCAAGTATATTCTGAATCCAAATTTAATGAAGAAAAAAACCCTTGGTTTACGGTCTGGCGCTTGAAAAACGCGAACAGAAAATGAACTAGGCTATACATGGTCGAATCAAAGAATAAAAGTATTTCGAGTGTATTTAGGAAATTCTTTGATGAACTGAAAGAGAAATGTAGTAAACTTATTACAGTCTGGAAGCGTTTTCACCATTTTTTATCATTAAAAGGAAAAAATATGAATTCTTAATCAAATTAGTAGTAATATTACGTGGCACAGATTTCAACTTGTAGTTAAGCGCAAAACTACACAACGGGCTATCTGCTCACCACGGGTATCGAAACCCGATTTGTAGCCTTGTAACTCCACAGACATGCCGCTGTGCCACTTGGGTATTAGAACCGCCTCAGAATTTGATAACTAATTTTCAAAACGCTTTTATACAATTTTTGGAGGAAAGTTCACTGGGTTAATAGAAATACTTTATCATTACCTTTGGAAGAATGTGGATTAAATTTTATATCCTTGAATGATAAACTATTTTTAGTATTCCTTACTTCGAACGTGTATTACATAAACCAACCAGTTCACCTATCCCAATTACAATTGAAACTATTTTTAAACGGGCATATCAACATTTTGATTTTCTTACAGTTCTTTTAATGGATCATATGGAACCGTGAGAAAAGTTAGACATATTCATACCTCTGCTTTAAAAAGATGGTGTAGCGTTAACATAAGAAGGAAAATTCAAAATTATCTTTCTTAATGAGCCTCTTTTCTTGAATTCTTATTTATTAGATAATACAGGAAATCCATTTTGTTATTTTTCTTGTCTGATAAACAATGTGATAACAGAGTCAGACATACAATGTGTTACGAAAGAAATAGATGGACAAATATAAAGTTAATCTTGCCGTCACAATTACAGAACGATGAAAATGAAGAGCGTTTGAAACGTTTAGTGAATGCGATTACAATACATTAAACATTTAACTAATAATGAACAAGGTAATACACCTAGTTTAGAATCACCATGAAGAGCGTTTGAAACGTTTAGTGAATGCGATTACAATACATTAAACATATTAAACATTTAACTAATAATGAACAAGGTAATACACCTAGTTTAGAATCACCAGTAGCAGAACAGTATTGTAATACTTTGATATGTAAAAATTGTCACATGTATTTTAGGTGTATTGTAATACTTTGACATGTAAAAATTGCCACATGTATTTTAGGGTGTATTGTAATACTTTGATATGTAAAAATTGTCACATGTATTTTAGGTGTATTGTAATACTTGGACATGTAAAAATTACCACATGTATTTTAGGTGTATTGCAAATGAGCTTTTATTAGACATGATTTTTAAATTGTGTTCAACAGTTTTGGGAAGAACATGTGAATCGTACGATTATTGGTATTTATGCTCTTATAAAAGTTGCAATAATTCCAAATTAATTGAGGTATGTAATTTCATCATTATTTTAGGGAAGAGTATTATACACAGTTATTGATGCGAGTTACAAAAAAATCAACGTGTTCCGTATCTTAAAACAATTAAAGAGAATTTATTACGTAATTTCATTAATAGATTGAAGCCGCGGATTACATTAGAAAATATGAGGGCCGAACAAAATGGTGAATTAGAAATATTAAAAAAGAATTGGATTCAAGAATGTGGATGGTTTATTATAGATCAAAATACTGTGAAATTTCTTCCTTTTGAATAATTTATTATTATATTTTCCTTTCCTGTGTGATATGTATATATATACTTTTTGATAATTAATGTATAATATACTGTATTAAGTAAGTAATAGTTGATGATGTGATTGAAACTTCCAAAACATTTTACAACTATTACTTCTGAGGTTGTTGATTATAGTTAAAGGAAATCGTTACTTTAAAACATCATCCATTTATTTATGGATGTTACAAATAAGAGTGATAAATTGGTTATGTAAATAATGTAATGGATAAATATGTTTTATTTCCTTGTAAAAACTGGTTGTTTGGTGTCAAACCTGTAAAAACTAGTTTGGTTGTTTTAATAAAAAATATTCATATATCTAGCTATAGAGAGATAGATAGATATACAGACAAACAGATAGACAGACAGATAGATACACAGACAGAGAGATGGATAGATAGACAGACAGACAAACAGATAGACAGACAGATACATAGATAGACAGACAGGTCTGTCTATCTGTCTGTATATCTGTTTGTCTGTCTATCTATCTCTCTCTGTCTGTCTATCAATCTATCATCTCCAATTACAGTGATCTGTAATGGATAAGTATTTTCTTGATACAGTGCACGTGCAGTCTAAGTTGTATGTCCATCAGTTTGGACCGTCTTTTTATTTTCAATAGATGAAACTGTTGCTGATGCAGTCCTGGGGAACATTCTCAATATATTGATCGCTGGAAGTAGTCACTGAAGATGTACAACTGAATGTTACCCAGGTTAACTTAAATATGCACCTGCGTCTGTACTTCTAATGAAATTGCAGCAGTAGTGGGTCACACATGAGCTGATTTTATCTTTGCATAAATTAACGAATTACGTACGTCATAATTGATCCCACCCACATGATAGGAGTGAAAGTAGATCCGTCGCCTACAATGTACCACCAGGGCATGCGCTGACGGGACCTTGCTGAGGGACAAACAATTAGAAAGGAATATTTTATAGTGCATGCGTGAACATACTCACGTCCGTTCATTCCCGCACAAGAATACCATGAGGAAGGGCTTCTGTCAACTTCGTTGATTTTCTCAGTTGCCGCCTATTGGAGAAAAACCTAATGATTAGACCATCAATCAAACAAGGACAAACTTAACCTATATTGAAATGTTTTAACCGTCATTATGTCTTAACCTTCATTATGTTAAGGCATGATGTTAATTAAAGTTTATTGTGTTAAAAGGTTTATGTAGACGAATTGCATGATGTAATGTCTTTATTACTACTAATAGAAGCATGTTTACCTTCAAAACTCTACATGATGCATGATGAGTTGTTACTCTGTAATGTTACTTTTTTCTCAGATGTTTCTTGTCTTATCTTTTCTTACATTTTACTCAGCTAACACCAAATAAAATATTAACCAGACATTTTTCTATGAATCTAGTTTGATAAACTACACAATATCTCTAAAGAGAAAAGCAGGCTAACATGAGCCCAAAATAAAAACATCGAAGTTATAAAACATGATACATTGTATAGTTAAATCATGTACTCCAAGAACATAAAAGTAAAAAAAACAAACAAAAAAACAACAACATAAAAGCTGAATATCCTCTCCAAAGAAATTCAATAACGTAAGAAAAACAATTCAAGTGGAAATATCAGTTCTTTACACTCCTAATAACTTGATATAATATTCCTCCCTACCAACCATCCATTTTTTTTTCTGGAAGACAAAAATAACTTAAACCGAATTCTTTAAAAATATTTTGGAACCAAAGTGCAAAAGTATATCATTCGCTGTTATATTATATTAGAGATGACACATAGTTAGTTCCACCATATGCAGCATCTGTATAATACTTTATCTTTTCTTGAAATAACTTAGGACTAATGCCAATGTAGTGTCTCTACCTTACTTTCCTGTAGTTTTATTCCGGTTTCTAAGTTCCAGACAAAATTCTTTAATCTTGTTTTAAGTTTTACTTCTGAACTAGGAAATGAATTGAAAGATATGTTGTAAATGTAACCCTATGTGCTACCCTTTATAACAGTATTCGATCAAAGATGGTATTTACTCTTCCATGGGAAACCTATATGCCAACATTACTTAGTGTGAGGTTACGTTTTGGCTGTTACATTGGGTAAATATATCACCAAATTTCTTGAAATCAACGTTTGGTTGATATTTGAAATTTGGGGAATTATGGCTATTTCAAGGACAACAGCTTTTGAATGAGGAAAGACAGGACCGACTTGCGCAGCGCTGTGTTTTATCTAATGTTTCATTAATATTTATTCATGTTAATTTACATTTTGTTATTTACCTTTCAATAAATCATTTTACTCTATTTTTATTTTGTTATTTCAACTCGGAGGAAATGTGAGGGTGTTGATGAGTGAAGAAAGAAATTTTAAGCGTGTGGTCCAATTTGTCTGTCTATTTAAACTTTTTTGGTTGTTGTCATTAAAACATCCAATCCAATCAAATCCTCGAAACTTTCATCATGTGGCAGTAATCTTCACGTGTTTTAAATATTTCGTGACACAGATACCATAAAAGTATACGTTATGAGTCGCTGATCCAAATCCTTAAGAAATTTCCTTCCTCCTTTTATTTCCAAGTGATCCTAAATAGATGTGTTTTTGCTTTCTATATCTTTTGGAAAAGAAGTTTGGAAATTCTAGAGAAAGTATACAATGAGCCTACACTATGTTAGAACTCCCACCTAATATTGGATTGGACTATCTTGGACTATCTAATAAAATACTCCATAAGATAATAGAAGGTGTCTTATTATCAAAAATGCTCAATCAGGTTGAGATACAATAATTATGTTGACAAAGGAAAATGACTGGAAAGTCACTATCATTGTTGCATTATCGTCTTGGAAGAGTCGTTGTCCGTCGTGGTCAGCAGTCAAATTACGCAGCCCATATTACATGAACGTTTCCTACGCCATTACACCACCTACAGAAAAGTCGTACTACTAGACAACACAAGTAAGATCATGTGTCTTAGGTAAATTGTCTTTTCTTTTTATTCTACTGTCAATACAAAAACAAAACTAGGAAATGTGACTCATCGGACGGCATCACATTCATTCAGTTATTAAATGTTTATAGTTTGTCTAAGTGCCAATGAAACCATGCTTTTTTCTGGTTACACCTGAGATGAGCAATTTTTGGACTCGTTTTAGCAATGCCATTTATAATACACAGTCGGAACAGCGTTGAAGCCTGTCCAGTGTCGTACTTAGTAGGTTAATCTACTACAGTTTACAGTTACATTTTTTTAAATAGCAAACGTATTCCTTTTTTACTATAACTCATTGATGAGAAATGTCTTTAAAGATTTGGTCAAAGAAACGGGTATTTTAAAACGACGTTCTTTAAAATGGACCCCTACTGATTTGCTCCCTTGAAAGTCAGAGAGATCCTTGCTATTACCCATTATCTTACAGGCTTAACTATATTAGAATTATATCTATGCATTTATAGGGCTTAAGCATTCACGTGACACGTAATATTATCATTCTATTTTAGCGAGTTAATACAAAACTAATTTGTAGTAGAGTAAGCAAACAAGCAGCTGCTGTTTGACTAGGAATAGTTTTCTATATATTACTGTAGCGATATTTTTTTGCATGTTCGCCCTTTCAGCCGGAGGGGGGGGGGCGTTATAATGTGACGGTCAATCTCGCTATTCGTTGGTAAAAGAATAGCCTAAGAGCTGACCAGGAATAGTTTTCCATATATTACTGAAGAGTGACAAATAACCCTGATATCAGAAAGAACAGTCCATTTCCGTCTGTCATCATCTTGTAGTACATTCTAACTATATTACATGTGGCTTTATTATGCTGATGATATAAAGTTTCTGATGTTATGGGGTTGAAATGTCAACATTAAGAGATACGTTTTATTTGTAGCAAAATGGTATTTCTTTAACAAGACTTTTTCATTGTATTTACTTCATTCATTAGTCATTAAGGAACTTTTCTGATTTATTACGTATTTACATCGAATGAGTCATAGAGGGCCTTTCCATGAACATTAGAAACCTGTTGGAACTGTCATTTTTGATTGTATAGAAATTTTAACTTGATTTTACGAAAGCCGTAATGCTAGTATTAATTATGTAAAAACTCGTTCCATAATTAGGGAACTTGAGTTTTTTTAGTTAGGACCTGACAGTGAGGTTCTCTGGATGCTAATATTATTTCCAATAATTATCAGATAATATTTATAAATAGACTCGGTCAGTTTTAAATAACCAAATTTAATTATTAATAATATTCCTGAAGAAATGCGGGAGATAAAAGATAATACATTTTTTATGAAGAGATCTAGTAATTAAAAGAGAATTAATAAGAAGTTCTCCTGAATTAATAGGGTTATTTTGTCTAAAAAGGTTTATCTGTGTCAAAAAATGTTAATTGGTCTCGAAGGATTATCTGAGTCTTAGAGTTATTTGGTCTATATGGGTCATCAATACTCAAAGTTTACTGAATTCAAAGGGTTCTCTTCTCTCAAAGACTTAATCTGGTCTTAAAAGATTGTCTGATCTCAAAGGATTAGCCACTATGACTGCATCAGGGGTTAAGGTAAAAGGTCATACAGGTTTATTGATTACTACAGCCTATCAAACACACTATGTTCATGAATAAATTATAAATATATAACTGATGACAATGAAGGTTCTATACTAAAACTTAAAACGTCATCTTTTTCTTCATATCTATATACATAATAGCCAAATGTCTGTCTGTTTGTCACGCTCTGTACCTCCTGAAAGGTTAATCGTAGATATATATATATATATATCAAAATCCTTATTTTCAAGAGTACATAATAGGTAAATTATTAATTTTTTCAATTCCTAAACTTTATATCGATATAAACATAGATCCGTAAGTCTTCGTATGTGATTAACAGCCAATCTGAGAAAAAAACTTATTAAGAACAAAGATGTTTTTATTGCGAGGGAATTTTCACGATAAAAATGGGACTTCCTCAGTCGACTGACTGAAAGAAATATTTCGAAGATAGAAACATGAACGGAAAAAACGCATAAGCAGAGGAATATGTTTCAGTATATATTTGTTGTTATTTGGTGTATATATATATATGTATATATAGTATATTTTTCATGTCGGTATTAATACAAGCATGATTTTATTGTACCATGTCGAATAAATTAATTTGAATATCTCTCTATTGTCACTACTTATAAACTGTCAAAAAGCGCTCACTTCTGCAGCGATCTTTTCTTGCGGCCAGTAAAATGGCCTGGCATGGCCAGGTGGTTAAGGAGCTCTAACCGCAATCTGGGGGTCGTGGGTTCGAATCCCCATCTCACCAAACATGCTCGCCTTTTCAGCCCTGGGGGCGTTATAATGTGACGGTCAATCTCACTATGAGTTGGTAAAAGAGTAGCTAAAGAGTTGACAGTGGGTGGTGATGACTAGCTGCCTTCCCTCTTGTCTTTCACTGCTAAATTAGGGACGGCTAGTGCAGATAGCCCTCGTGTAGCTTTGCGCGAAATTCACAACAAACCAAACCAAACCACTCAGTAAAATGAAAAGAAATAGAGGCAACCATTGGAAAATAGCGAACTTGAGTGGTCTAATGTGCTGGATGAACCTATTGCATCAAAATCCAAATATTTTTGACAACAATGCATGGTATTCAGTCTCCTTTGCTTAAAAACAAACACAATGCAGTTTTCCTTATTGAAATAACACATGGAATGACAAAGTAAATGGCCCACTAAACAATTATATTGTATATACGCTCTGATCCAAGGGCTTGGGTTGACTACACATTTTATATGTGTTCAACACTATTTTTAGGGAGATTACCGATGAATTGTTTCAACGTGCATTTGCTAATGTTTATATAATCTCATACGGTTCTTTCAAGTCCATTTATTTCTAAAATCTGAGGCCACAGAAAAAAACACTTGATATCAGATACCTCGCCAGATTTCACCATTTTTGGTGTTTTTAATAGAATATAACTCATTAATCCAAACGTTACCGCCCTCTTTTAGTTGTGTAATAACATTTTGTCGCTCAAAATTTCCCCCTTTTCATA